CAATGTCAATATTAACATTTACATTCCAGTGCCATTTAGATCGACATCTTTGGCATTTACCTCTTCGATTATTCCTTAACATTACCACGTTTAACTTTAGCATTAATGGATCATATACATGTATTTGTACAATTTCAAATCTGACATCATAAGGCCATTCACGAATTTATATCGTTCTGACCATTTATATGCTAGCAGGAAATTGTGGTACTGACCAATTTGCATGCCTGACGGGATACCAATGCATTCCGGAAGAGTGGGTTTGTAACTACCTACCAGATTGTGCAGATGGTAGTGATGAAGAAGACTGTGGTAAGTTTACATTTCTACCAAAATTATATGGAGATTAGCAATTTCTCAATATAATGATTGCAAAAAAATATAGTCTGAGCTCTTTGCCTGGAGTGGTGATTAGTTAAGATATAGATTCAAATTCACAGATGCAGCATTTCAGAATTTCAATTAAGTTCTCTTTATTTTAGACATCAGAAATATTGTAAAACGATTGATATTCATGTATATGTGGTAGATGATTACATTTGTTACATGTGTACTAGTTCATTAATACTGTAGGCTTATCAATCCATCTTTCATTTAGTTGTATTGTGTTTCCAAATATTAATCTAAATTATTGTACAAATTGATAATTATTTCATACTACTACCTATTGCATACAAATGAGTCTAATTTGAAAAAGAAAATTAATCAATACATTTATTACACTTGCAAATAAATCTGTCTCTTATACACATCTAGATGTGTATAAGAGACAGGTACCCAACTTCCTGAAATTAATACAAATAGTGAAATAGAAGTGATTGAGTATTCAACCTATGTCACTATCGAAGATAGTGTAGGACAAATAGAAGGAGACAGTGTTGCAGAAAGTTCTTTACTACCTGCAGACAGAAGTGAATTCCAATTAGCCACAGAACGATTGTATACTTCTCCGTACCAAGAAAGTGAAGTTTTTGAAGGCACAGAACACTTTTTGCCAACTGATGAAACAGGAGAAGTTACATATTTTACAGCAACTGATGGAGGTGAATTTCAATCAGTTGAAGAAGAAACATATACTCCTGTATATGAAGGAAGTGGGACAAATGAAGGCACAGAAAACTTTTTGTTACCTGGTAGAAGTGATTTTTTTACAACACAAAGAGTAACTTCGGTCATAGAAAGCATTTCTTTTCCGGATTCTGGTAGAGAAGCAAAACGCCGTAAAAAACGGCAGGTGGTGAATACAGGTTTGTATATTATTTTCTTCATTTTTGGCAGGGATTGAAGAAAGAAATATCAAAGCACCAATTGGTAGTAATTTAGTTTTTGTGAGAAGACCACCACTACCATGGATATTTGAAAGTTCTACCGAATAACCAGTGCCTCACAGGCGTTCATTTCTGACAACAAACTATTGTTTTTATCAAGTGTGCTTGCAATGCTTGCTGTCCCAACACCAATGGCGTATATGTGGGTATGCCCCCCACAGTCGGCCTATAACAATGTTGGAAACAAAAAAATCATGATCAAGCAGATAAAAAAATCACCTTATATCACCTAATTTCACAAACTACGGACTAGTGCCCCCAAATTCACCTTCGCGCTCCCATTTGCCGGCTCCCCCATTTAAAGTCACATAGATAACGCCACTGCCCAACATCTTTCCTAAATCCATTGCTTTGTGGTGGGTTATAGGGCCAGTAACATTCACTGTGTATGTTTATGTATAATATAACCATAACTCGAGTGGCCCATCCAGGCTTATATGTATCAAAAACAGGAAAACCAGTCAGGCGGATTCAAGCCACCCTCTACTACCTCTCAAAAGAAAATTGAGTATCATATCCGGCCATTTAGAATTGCCATAATCGTTACATTTTCTTACCTCAGCCCCAACCATGGACATGAAGTGGTCTAGACCCTCGATTTATGAAAGCCTACCCTGCTCTCCCCCACCCCCCCTTTTTTTTCCTACTTCAGATTCCTGGATCCCACAATGTCAATATTAACATTTACATTCCAGTGCCATTTAGATCGACATCTTTGGCATTTACCTCTTCGATTATTCCTTAACATTACCACGTTTAACTTTAGCATTAATGGATCATATACATGTATTTGTACAATTTCAAATCTGACATCATAAGGCCATTCACGAATTTATATCGTTCTGACCATTTATATGCTAGCAGGAAATTGTGGTACTGACCAATTTGCATGCCTGACGGGATACCAATGCATTCCGGAAGAGTGGGTTTGTAACTACCTACCAGATTGTGCAGATGGTAGTGATGAAGAAGACTGTGGTAAGTTTACATTTCTACCAAAATTATATGGAGATTAGCAATTTCTCAATATAATGATTGCAAAAAAATATAGTCTGAGCTCTTTGCCTGGAGTGGTGATTAGTTAAGATATAGATTCAAATTCACAGATGCAGCATTTCAGAATTTCAATTAAGTTCTCTTTATTTTAGACATCAGAAATATTGTAAAACGATTGATATTCATGTATATGTGGTAGATGATTACATTTGTTACATGTGTACTAGTTCATTAATACTGTAGGCTTATCAATCCATCTTTCATTTAGTTGTATTGTGTTTCCAAATATTAATCTAAATTATTGTACAAATTGATAATTATTTCATACTACTACCTATTGCATACAAATGAGTCTAATTTGAAAAAGAAAATTAATCAATACATTTATTACACTTGCAAATAAATTAAGTGGTGTAACAAATAAGCAATACTTGTAAACATGGCACTTTCATTAGATGAATGCACAGTGTAAGGCGCTGTTATAATAAAAATTATTACTATTATTATTTTGCTGGACTGTTCCATTTTGTGAAGCAGTGCTGAGTAACTGCCGAGTTAAATGGAAAAGTGCATATTTTTCTTTCCATTCTAAGAATGCATAGCCTAACATTTTATTGTCTGTTTTATGATACTCCTAGAATAGGTACTTTTATTTTGATATATGAATGTTAGGCATTCATATGGCTTTTCTGGAACACAGGCAAATCCACTCTTTGCAAGGAATATTGAAATGGTAGTACTTTTTATGGTTTGTTAATTTGCTAGAACAATATTGATCTGGTTACACATTTTCAATTGAAACTTAATCGGTGTATAAAAAGTTGAATTTTATTGTTAAAATTACAATTATACTTACATAGTTACAGATTAATGGGTTTTAATATAGGCTATTAGTCTTTTATACCAATTGTAAATGCCTATAAAGCCAATTTGGTAGGAGGACATTTCCTGACGTAGTCCAATGGACATCGAGATGTTTCTCAAAAGGCAAAACCGATGGAGCTTCCACCACATATGCTGGTAGTTTATTTTAAGTGTCTACGATTCGCTGAGAAGAGAAATATTTTCTAATATTTAAATTCTTGTAAAGGCCTTTTATAATTTTTAATTTATGTCCATGCGTCCTTTTGTGCTGTGCCAATACAAAGAGATATCTGTAATTTTATCACGGCCAGTAAAAATTTTGAAAAGTTCGAGAGATCACCTCTCATGGAGTTGCATGTTCTTTTGGCGACAATAGGTTTCCTGCTTTTTGCGTCTCCCGGGCAGTAATGTCAAATGAATAAATAAATAATCCGCTTCAATTCGAGAGGATATACATATATAGTTCCTTTAAGCGTCGCTCGTATGACATGAATTTGAGGCACGGTATCAACTTCCTCGCTCTACACTGAACTTTTTCCAAAATTTGCAAATCCTTAATTTGGTTAGAACTTCAGGCTTGCAATATTCAATTTCAGGTCTACATATGCATTATACAAAAATTTCGATGCATGATTTATCAAATAATTTGAAACTTCTCTTGACAATTCCAAGATTTGACATCATGGCTGCCGCTTTCTAACATTACGTTTTGTTAGCTCAACGTAGACAGTGGGCCTGCCTTTAATTATAAAATGTCTCCGTGTACATTATAATGCATGGAATTTAAAACTGATCTATAATAGGGAGTTTAATATCAAAGTCCTTACTAACGCTGACATTATAAAACGTGTACTATCTAGAGTGCAATGGATTCGAGTGTATAGAAGATGGTGGATGTATCTATTTTGGCCAAGTTTGTGATTTCGAAGATGATTGTGTGGACGGATCTGATGAATCGGTCGATATCTGTGGTGGTAAATATTTTTTATTTATTCATTTATTTCGTATTTCATAGAAAGGTTACATACGGTATATCAGCAAAAAAGCAAACATTTAAAAAAAAAAACTAGGACAAGAGAAACATTTTTTTAAGCTACATAGAAATCACCCACTTTCCAATAAAACAAGGATAAACAAATTGTTTTTCTGTAAAATAAAGAACATTTAATATCTACACTATAATAAAGTTTTTAATTTTTAGTTCCACATAATCGTTTGTGTGTATTCAACACCATAATCAAAATCGTCATATTTGTGTGGTTCTCACTTCTATTATCACCACCATCATAGACATCGTCGTTGTCATCATCTACCGTTATAATAAATGATGGCGGTACTGATTACGGGTGGCAGTCTGAGGAGGTCGTCATTAAAAGCGAGTGAACATTGCATTTCCAATTCCATTATTTATATTGGAATGGTTGTTTTTTTTTTTTCTTTGAAATGAAACAATGTTTTCGTTTTACAATTTTAAGAAACACTCTTGGTTATGATTTTATTTTACAGAAAGCCATGAATGTGACCCCGAGGAGTATTTTGTGTGCTTGACGCAAGCAGGCTGTATTGAAAGAGAATGGATGTGTGACGGCGAGGGCGATTGTCCTGATAATTCCGACGAAATATTCTGCAGTAAGTCCACATTGTCATGAGCGAGGCTTAACGCGCTTTGGGCTTATTTGGCTTCTCGAGACACAGTTGCATTTGGTTTCTATGTACAGTATTGTTTAAATAAAATCTGAATCTTAATTTGAATCTCATATATGATTTTTTCAACAGTTACAAAAGTGCAAGCACAAATAAAATGCCTTTCAGACATTCACAATAACGTTTAAATGAAGCATAATGAATAGTACATCAGAAAGTGAATGATTGATGATGTTAGGCAGCCTGAAAATAAACCTAAAAGAACGAAAACAAACATGAACTTTCAAAAAATGGCATAACATTATAATGATTGGATTCGGATGCACTGGGTTTATAAAAAACTAACTAGGCCTAGGCCTACCTTTTTGAATTACGGATGGGGGTCTTGGTTTGGTGTCGATAATGAAGCAGCGATGTAGCTCGTGCCTTCACTGTCGAACATGTTTAAAAAAGTGTTGTCACAGCACTTTTTACTATGGAAACATGCGTGCCCTTTACGCGTGGTTGCATAACGTATGCATCAGTGCACAAGTGCAGTGTACGCAGAAGCATCAGGGGTGGTGCCAGGATTTGCCCGACAGTTGGAGGGGGCCGGTTCCCCTGACGAAGGATCAGATTTCTCCAACGAAAGCAAAGTGGGCGTGGTCGCTTCCCCCGTCCCCCACCGGCACCACCCCTGATAAGCATTGCGCATATTTTTCTTTTCTCGTTCATCAAATGTTCATTTATTTCAATACTTTCATTTGAAAACATATTCAATAACAATATTTCTTTCAGTTTTCCTTTAGGGTAACATAAATAGATAGGCCATATTTGATTTTTTTTTCTTTTCCTTTTTCTTCATACCTAATCCAGTTATTAATACACTTACAGAAGTGAAACAGTATAATAATATTAGTAATAATGATAATAATACTAATTTTAATACAGTAATATCCCTTTACTACATTAGATCACAATAGATTTAAACTTGCTTGTTTTCACAAGATGGATATTTTTTGTAATCTTATTCTAAATTTAAATTCAGCGTAAAAAAACTGATATAATACAGTAGGTTAACAACGTTTTGTCTACATTCACGTGTCTTGAGCCATGTTTTTTAAATTACGAAATTAGCTACACTGATCAGCTCATTTGCTACGTTATTTTTATCACCCTTCTTATGAACTCCAAATACAATAGATTTTATATCAATATCATTTAAACATCCTTTTCTTGATAGTATGCCGATATCCATTAACACGTTTACAATAATAAAACATGTGCATATATTCTTCAGTAATACCACATAAAGAACAAAGAGGTGTTAGGGATATTCTGAATTTAAATAACTTCTTACTGTTAATCAAAATGGCATGTAATAACTTGAAATTAAACTGTCTTAATTTTATATCATAAATTTGACCAATTTTTATTCTCCATATTTTTTAAATTACGTTCACTCTTTTTATTATTATTATTATTATTATTATTATTATTATTATTATTATTATTATTATTATTATTATTATTATGTGTCTTTATTACTGCTCACGCAAGATTATTATGTGTCTTTAATGTAGTCCTACTTGTTTCCCCCCACCACCCACCCCAAGATGCTCATACGAATTACGGTTATTCTACTGACTTTTGTTAATTTTGTGACTTGTGTGTTTTTGTGTCTACTTGACGTAATAAAGCACTAATAGATAGAACATGTAATTAAACGTTAAACAGCTTCACTATGCCGATATCTCCCTCTTGGTACCGTAACGTCTTTTAAAGCTCTTGTTAACTTACCGTTTTTTATTCTCTTTATAGCATGTAACGGCTTTCAGTGCCTGGATTATAGTCGTTGTTTGTATGCTACTATTCGCATCTGTGACGGCGAACGGGATTGTGATGATAACTCCGACGAAAGCTACTGTACTCGTAAGTTGGAATTAATTGACATCGAAGTATCATGTCCAAAATCAATGAACGTCATGATAATTAGAAAGACAATACGTTTCACGAGATATTGTATTCAAATTGATTTCATCTGATTATAATAACTCATTTTTTCTTTATAATATATTTTTTACATCATTTTTGATAAGTTTATTTATTATTAAATAGTAAAATATCTTGAAAAAATGAGTTTATGATGCGTTTGTTGGGTCGATTCTTTCATGTAATTGTCCAGGTTGGTCAACAACGTCATCGCAAACTTTTTTTCAGCACTTTTGTGCTATACGAGATTACTATTACTGAACCATTTTCAAATAGATCAACCAGGGGTGGCGCCAGTAGGGAGGGGCGGGCCCCATCGGGGAGAAAAAGCACAATTCGTCAAGGAGAAAAAAAATTACATGTATTTTCTACATAGTAGACTCTAAAATCGATTAAATAAGCCTTTGAAACCCCTAAATTTTCAAAATTTTCGGGGGCATCGCCCCCTGGAACACTTTCAAAGTGGTCCAAAAAAAGCAATGATGGATCCAGAGGGATTTTTTTATTAGTCGAAATTGAAAGCTTTTTTAATATAAATGTTTGTGCAACTGATTGAAACTGTTTTCTTTTCCTCTTTTATCGTTGACCAGAAATTTATTTCAACTTATTGAAACTGTTTTCTTTCCCTCTTGTATTGTTGACCAGAAATTTATTTATATCATTATAATTATATTTATATAGAAAACAATAGATTAATAATAGTATAATTTATTACTTTTTTCATCATTACCAGCTGAATTATATCCGTGCTTTAGTAACCCATGTGACTCGGTGAGGTCAATGTGCGTGTCCAATATCGGCGAAAATTTGAACTACACCTGCGAATGCATGTACCCGTGGTTCGGTGATGAATGCTTAGGTAAGTTAGAAGTCCTAACTGTGGATGAGTCAAGTCTATCAAGCAGCTTATCACAGTATGTGATTCACCCCATAAAGCTAAATTTTCCAGTGTTATTTTTGTCTTGTCTTTTTCGAACAAGGTTAATTATAGTTTTAATTTGTTATTATAACTTTAATATCACAGTCATTATAAGCCTATTGGGATTTCAATAGCCATTTCAATGAATATCTGATGAGTTATTTGACATAAAGTTATGCCATAGAAATTTCAAATAATATGCTTAAATGTTAAGTTTAAACACAAACAAAATCTGTTATCTGTTCCCTGGTAAACATCAGTTACTTACCTAAATTTATCTGCTGTAATATGATTTTCCCATTAATAGCATTCACACATCAACAATGGGAAATTTTGCAACCTTAGGAAAACGATAAGGAATACGAATAGGTCATTATCATTATCGTCATTTTTGCCCCAAAAGTTCTTGACAAATTGCTGTACGAGCTGAATATGATCCTTGCTTCATGCAAACGACTTGAATCGCCTACGCTGAGACAGATATACTACTGTAGGGGAAGGATTTTCTAAAAACTTAATGACGTAACCGTATTCGTTATCGTTTTCGTAAGCTTGTGAAAACTCCCAAATACCACATTTTTGACGGAACCATATATAAAAAGTTTGTGTTACTTGCAGCTGGGATGATAGATATAATACGTGTATAAATCTATGTGAGATCCCTGACACATGCTTTGTTGACTCTCTTATTCAGATTGCATTGGTTTTGTATGTGCTAGCGGTGACGAATGTGTACTGTATGACAGTTGGGTCTGTGACGGCATTCCAGATTGTCACGATATGTCAGATGAGGTTAATTGTTCTGGTG